ATATGTATATAAAATTACCAAATATTACAGAACAGATATGCGTATTGTTATTTTTCAAGTGCACATAACTCTTTATAATGAAAACGAAAAAAAAAAAGCAGTCCCTTCAATTTTACTATATAGAGTTTCGATTGTATTAATTAATAACATCCGCGTCCGTTTACGATCGACGGTCCACTACTGGAGTTATCGATCGTTGAATGCCTATTAAAAAAGATGATATTTATATATAACATCCGCGGACAAAGCAAACAACGCGCCAGCTGATATCCGGTGTCACAATATTTTATTATTACGCGTCCATAAATAAAACTCTATTACCGCGTTCTTGACATATTTCGATATTTTATACACACACACACACACACACACACACACATACTCATACACATAATCGACTTAATTACGACAATTTATTTTAAACGCTTCGACAACGTATTATCGAAAAGAATATTGTACGACGCGGCACGCCATGTCCGACTTACGATAATGTGCGTGATTATTATTATTTTCGTTGTGATACAACGTGAAATTTGCACGAATTAAACGTAAACGCAGTGCATATGGATAATGCTTCAAGGAAACTTCCACTGTAATATCGCCAACGTTTCGTCAATCAAGAGTCGGGACAGATAAGTGGCGAAGACCGTGATGTTGACAGAAACGTTACTAACGATTGGCTGGAGAAGGCGTGGCCAAAACTAGCAGAAAAGTACCCTGCTGACGACATTTTTAATGCTGACGAAACTGGTATTTTTTTGCGAAATGACGAAGGATAAAACTCGTCAATTTCGAAGTGAAAAGTGTGTGTGTGGAAAACTTTCTAAAGAACGTATAACAGTGTTAGTAGCTGCTAATATGAAAAAAGAAAGGTAATCGTGATTGGAAAATCAACTAACCTACGATGTTTTAAGAACATCAAGCATTTGCCGGTCACTTACAAGGCATACAAGTCTGCATGGATGACATCGCAAATTTTTGAAGAGGAGATACGGAAATGCGATGTAGAATTAAAGGGTAAGAAAAGATTACTTCTCTTAGATAACTGCCCTGCACATCCCCATATTCCAAATCTGCGGAATATTGAATTGGCATTTCTTCCAGCCAAAACAACAAGTGTATTACAACCGATGGACCAGAGCTTAATAAAAAGTCTTAACAGCGGATACGGGAAAAACATTTTATTTTAAATGATCAAGTCCGAAGACAAATTTTTCATTAATATGCTAGATGCAGTCAACTTTATTACTAAAGCTTGGAAAGAGGTGACAGTAGAAACAATTCAACACTCCTCTCGTCATGCAGGACTTATTACCGAGACAGAATGCGAACAATACTTGGAAGATGATCAGCCACTAAGCGAGTGGATAAAGCAGTTTCAAACAACTAATTAAGTTTACAAGTGAGTGGTTGCAAGATTTTATGGTGGTAGATCAGGATTTGCCTATAACAGCAGACTTGACAGAGGAAGGTATATTACAACAAACAAGAAAGGGTGAGGAAGAGCACCAAGAGGAAGAAGAAGATGAAGAAGTTGATCAGGGACCACCACCAACCGTTCAACAGTTAAGCTGCTAGAGAAATTTTGTATATATCATGGCCTCTCGAAGAAATGGTGAAAATATAAGCCATAGTACGAGATGCGTATTGGTATATTAAAAAAATTCATAAGAAGATGACCGATAATTTGAAACATTAAATGTAGTTCTTAAATATTTATATGAAATGTTCCTAAGTAGATGTTAAAATATCTATATAAAATAATTAAACATTACAGAACACATATGCGTATTGTAATTTTTTCAAGTGCATATAACTCTTTATAACGAAAACTATTTATTACGAAAAAAAAAGCAGTTCCTTCAATTTCGCTTTATATTGTTTGAGAGGGCGGAGCTAAAGGAAGGCCGTGAACATTTTCTGGAATGACTGATCCCATATCGTCGGCATTATGTAAATTTTGCAGTTTACCTCTCAAGGTACTTTATCTTGATAACGTTTTAATTGGCTGTAACTTTTTTTGTGTTTAGGGATATCCGGGTAAAAGAAAACTCAAAATATAAGGTTAATAGCCAAGTTTTTTTGCAAGTGGCGCATAAAACAAAACATTATCAATTTTCGATGTTCATGGTGTCTCTATGCGAAGTATTACTTCTAGAAAAATTGCCATAGAATTTTTAAACAGCTTGGAAAAGTATATGTAGAACCACGATGCAATTGTTCTTGTTGGACCAATAAAAAAGTATCACTTACGATGACGTTTTGTTTTTAAAAATGAAATTTCAAAAATTTGACGAATGTCGAAGTGACATTTGCCATTAACTTATCGAAAACTAATACAAAATTGTTTTTTTTTTAATATTTATCAATACTTCTTTTACTTAAACACGATATAACCGCTTTTACTAAGTAACGTGCGTTCAATTTATGTTGATAACATTTTAATTGGCTGTAACTTTTTCAGTTTTATAAATATCAAGGTAAAGACAAAAACAAAATGTAGGGTTAGTGGCCGATTTTTTTTTTCAATGTGACGTATAAAACAAAACACTATCAGTTTTCTGATGTAAGCCTACATCATTTTTTTTAAATGGAACACCCTGTATATTATATTAGTGTTTAATAGAATATCTTATTCCCATTACAATGATGTAACACATTTTATATTTTAGCCCATTCTTTTTTGACTTCTCATAGAGACACCATGATCATTGTTCTTCGTAGCCTTAGTCTTTCCTTTTCTCATCTTTTATCAAGTAACATTCAATGTCTGTTTTTCGCCCTTTTATTCACAACATAAACATCCAATTTTTGGTTCTTTTACTTTTAAATCTCAATCTATTGTTCTAATTGTTATTATTTGTCATCGTATAACCGATAACCTTTCGACCTTTCCAGTTGCTTTTTGGGTTAGAAAATTAATAACTTTATTGGTCTTACTCTATATAATTTAATTATTTAATTAACAACTGACTTCATGAATTTCAACTAATTAGCCATTTTATAAAAATATTTCATTTCATTTCAAAAAGAAAAAAGGAATACTCCCAATATAATCTGTTGCTTTCCTCGGCAATTTTGTGCCTTTACGAATTCTGTTTCAAACGAATACATTACCCAAACCCTTAAACAACAATATTACTTTTTAGGCTTATAGTGACAATATTGTCATTGTTTAGAGGTTTGAAATAAAAAAATATTTCTAAGAGCATTGAGCTTAAACAACTTCCAAATGGAGAAAGCCGAAAGGCTGAATTTTTCATAGTCTGCTTTACTGGTAAAATTTTATCGAATTAAGTGAAAAAAAAACCACAAAAGCGAACGTCGCTTAAATAAAATCCCCCCCCCCCCCGCCTGGGGTACGTCTGAAAAACCCGAATTTTCAAGGGCGTCCGCCCAGCAACCAGTTAGCAATTGGCTCAGGTCAAGGGCCCATTAGGGCCGGTTTAACACGCGTCATCTGCGAGGTAAAAGGGAGAGTTGATCCGGGAGGTCGCTCGCCGCTTATACAGGATGTTTAATGGCAAGATTACAAAACGCTATCTTAAGGTATATATCTTAAGATAACTTAATGGCACAAGGGCAGGCTTTCATGTTGAAATTGAATGTGTTTGACAAGCTTTTATCGTTTTATAAACCAAACGGCAAATGAATTGGGACAACCTAGAAGTTTTCTGGTTTCAATGGGCATCTAAAGGAGATTAGAAGGGCTCTAGAGTGTCGGTTGGGGCAAATTTCGACAATAATATGAAGTAAAAATGTATATAATACTTATAAATTCATCTTTTTTATCGCACTGTTGCACATAGCGTTTCAGTATTTAAATCAGTCAACGTTTACTGTGACTGTCGTCTGAGCAGCTTGATCCACAAGCTGTTTCATGGTTGATGGTCCCTTAGACGTTACGATTTTTAACGATGCTATCTTGCCGCTTCTTCGAAAAAGTAGCAGCAACAATGACATGTTAAATGATACACCATGTTTCCATGTTTCCCATCCACTAATACTTTATGATTGTTTCTTAATAATAATATCTTTAGAGAATATGAGTATTTTTCTTCATTTTTCCGACCAAAACATAGCTTGAATTAAATGTTTATTACCACCGTTAAAATTTTAGACATGGCTTGGGGAGACATCTAATAGAATTTGTAGATATGGAAATTAGTTCTACATTATACAAGGTTGCCTACAATATACCCATACGAAAATGGTGGAAAGTGTATTTTTTTATATATTGTATATTATCACATATTCTAAAAGCTGATTAAATACCCTATATCATGTCCCTATACCTAAATCATCAATAGCGCTCACTGAATCTTGTGGTTTTCCATCCTCATTATCTATTCATACCATATTAGTTGTCTTTCTGGTATATAATTTCTTCGTTCTTTCTCCTTTTCTATTTTTCTGTTCTGTTATTGGTTGTAAACCGATTCGTTATTGTTTCTGCAATTTCCCTGTGGCTAGTCTGTTTTGTATTTCAATTTATCTAATTCCATATACCATATAGTACAAATAGAGTTGAAAATTGAGCACTTCATTTTCCAACGTCCCAAGTCCGCAGCAACGATGCTTAAGGTGTTTTGTGTCTCCGTGGCAAAACTGTGCAAATATGCTTGCCCCTTGAAATTCTCGGAGCTTGTTTTGGGGCCCCTTCACGCGGGGCTCAAGGTGTCACACGTTCTATATGATCTAATTCACGTCCTCCTTATTCTTGATTCTGGCGCTACTCTGTACCTAGCTTCCAGTATCCGAGAAGTCGCTCCTGACCTGAGTAGTCCAACCTTTGCATTTGCCCCATAGCTGTCCAACAGATCACCATTAGTCTCCGGAGTTATGCTTCTCAGTAGAGCATAGGTAATGAATGGTAATACCATCATTGTGTATTCATAAAAGGTGATTTCTGGCTTCAGTGCCCAATAGCTACCGCAGAGATGAAACACCCATTATTTCACTTGAGAATGGAAGTTTTTGACCTCGTCTGTTTATTTCAGTCGGATAAATAAGGGCGGCGAGCCGCCAACGGCAGCGATGGAACAGGAGAAACGAATGCGTAGAGAAATCGCCAACAGTAACGAGCGTAGACGCATGCAGAGCATCAACAACGGCTTTCAATCTCTGCGTTCCCTGCTGCCTCACCACGAAGGCGAGAAGTTAAGCAAGGTAAGACATTACGCTATTCTACCATATAGGGTCAAGTCGCAGTCGAAGCAAATAATATGCTATCGACTGTTCAGCCATTCTGATAAGGTACTTCACCTGGCAATTTTGGCATTGGCAGCATTGGAAAACTGAAAGAACCCACTAATTTTCTTTGGGCATTTATTGCATTCAATTCTTTGAAGATGTCCATTCCAAGGGAGCATTGGAGTTTCCATGGTATCCAGAATAGAGCTAGTTGAACCTATTTTCTAAATCCATAAGTGTTGCTCCGAGCGAGTCGCCTTTAAACTTTTTTTCCTCAATAATACCAGCAGCCAAATACTCATTTTTTGTATATTTGTAAGAATGGTATGACCACATAGAATGATAAGACCACAAAACTTATTCAAATTACTGGCGTTCCATTGTGTGCCGTGTTATTCTCGAATGTCTCGTGAAGGTCATTTGATGACATTTTAAAGTTCTGCGATTTAAACTGCACAAATCATAAAACGTGCTATGATCTTCTTGAAGCAGATTCAAGGATCCAGTTCTTCTAAAACTCTTTACATAGGATCGCCGCAATTTTTGAGATTTTACACCAGATTACCTCAGAATATTCGAAAATCGGATCGTAATGAGTCTTAATCATTGTTGCTTGCCCTGTGATTACATTCAAAAATTTTATTAAGAAAACTGCGTGGTTGATCAGAAGTTTAGTCAATCCGATAAGAATAGAAGTAACAGGTCATACAAAACCTTGTAGTTTTAATAGGTATTGTAAAGGACAATAAATTAATCACTGATCCCAAGGATCTACTTCAACATTGGAGAAACACACAGCAATTATACTCAGAAAACACTAGAAGAAACCCTCCCCTAAAATAATGAAGTCAGAAATTGTAAGAGCATTCAAACAGAGCAATTCAGATTGGCTTTTCTCCAGACACCATTGCTAAAGGAGTCATTAAAAAGGTTTAATACTGAGTCAGAAAGCACATAGACTTTTCAAGGGATTAAACCGACGCTCTAGCAGTAGCAGTAGCTAGATATGCTAAGAAACTACTTCAGTGGTCTTTCCGTTTTTGGAGAGCGTCGCTCCCAAATATTTCAACTGGTTACAGCGTTTTATAGTTCCTCCACCTACCTAGTTTTTTTTATATTATGATGGTGAAGGTATGATTATGACCTGACCGTATATGGTATGACTTATTTCTGAAATAGCCACTTAAATCTGTAAGAATAGAAGCACATATTTAAATATATTATACAGAATGTTTCAAAATGAATGGGTCATAAGAAGTGACATGATTCTATTGTTTCCTCATTTTTCGCTAATTGCAAGGAATTTTCTTATTTTAAACTGTTTTTCAGTGGTTTACATAGACCCCGTAAATGGTCGTGAAGAACTTTGGTTTAAAATTCAATATCAAAAACGAATTTTTTAAAAATAATTTAACGAATTACAAAATATGTTAAGTTAGTTAATTAAATAAAATTTGATTTATGCCTAACAAAATTTTCCTTATTTTGATTTTTCATTAGTAAGGGATATATAAAACACGTTGGTTTTTTTTGTGTTTTTAAAAGTGTTTAAAATTTTTCTTTCTGTATCCACTCGTAACTATTGGCCAGTCTATTAAAAAGCAATACTTTCAATAATAATACTTTAATACTTTTTTACTTAGAATATACCAGAAAATGACCCTATCTTATCAGAAATGAAATTTGGCAAAATACAAATCAAAATTATAATCCCCGAAAACCCCCATCCTGTATCTCTTGTATTCTTTACAAAGAATAGGCTGCTATTGTATGGTCCGTTCGTTTGGAGACACCCTGTATATTCGAAAACCCTATCGAGTTTCGAAATTATAAGTAAAGCTTTTAAATTGCCAAGTAGCAAACAGAAAACGACGAGAAAAGAATTTTAGGCGTCCGCTTCTAAATGTTGGTCTAGTAGTTTAGTTGCTGAAGCGTAACACCGCAGTGAGCTTTTTAACACGCCGATATATTACGGTAACCGTAATTTTGAGCATGTAAATCCGACACGACGGCCATTTTTTTTCTCTTTTTTCAGCGAACGTCTGTTAAAAAAAAAAGTATTGTATTGTATTGTATTGTATCGTATATGTATCCAAGAGGAGATGAGTGTTTAGTTTATTTTTGAAAACGCGCGATATTTTGCCTGGGAAGTGAATAAAAACATATTTTGGAGAGATTCTTAAGATTGAAAGACGAATTAAATAGAACGTTTATAATAATAATAATAATAAATAGCCTTTATTATTACAAAGAAAAAACAATATACAATATTAATATTTTTCAACGAAAAGTAAACAGATAGCTCAAAAGGGGCGCAGTCTAGCTTTAAATAGCTACTTACTAAACCGCTAAAGAACGATTTATATAATTCATAAATTGCGCACTATTTCTTGAAATAAAAAAAGGATGAACAACAAATAAATTATGAAAAATATCTGCAAAATTCTACTACACACTATAGAAAATGCAATTTGGAAGATAAAGAATTTGATAACTCAATATAGTACCTTGCTAATAACATAATTAGAAACACATTATTAGGAAAACTGTATTTACAACAAATTATCTTTGTACCTTTTTTTAAATGAATGTAAATTTAAGTTACTGAATTCCTGTGACAAAGAATTATAAACACGAATTGCGTTGAATGTGAAAGATCTACGAATCTACTCTGATCATGTGCTCTCGCATCAAAGTGAGTGAATGGAGGTTATGGATATTTTTCATAACGAATACGTTGAAATGAAAAGCTCTTCTTTGTTCAATTTTAAGCCAATTAAGTTGACGATATGCAGCAAATTCATGGTCATATTTTCGAAAACCCATAATAAAACGAACCCAAGTATTCTGCAACCTTTGAATACGGCACTTACACTCGTTATCAATAAAAAAAAACCATACGCATTACAGTAGTTAAAATGTGAGAGAACAAGTGACTCACATAATTGTTTTAGTGAGAAATATGCCTTTTGAAAGATTCACAAAGATCACAATCTATAATCACCCCCAAATTTTTTGCTGAATTGACAACGGAAAGTTGAATATTATCTAACATTATATTAATATTTTGTTTAGGTAGCTTAACTTTATTTTTTTCTAGATATCAATAAATGCGATTTTGATGGGTTTAGCTTTAAATTATGGGCACGAGAAAGTTCACCAATAGTGTTTGAGATCTTGATACTTCTGCATTCATGCTACTGTTAAAATCAAAACAGCAATACAATTGAGTATCGTCGGCATATGCCTGAGTGTAAATAAAAAAAAAATAAGGGCCCCAAAATGGAACCTTGCGGCACCCCAGAGAAAATTTCAATGTCTTTCGAATATCTGCTATGACAGTATATTTTCTGACATCGATTTGAAAAATACGATTTAATCAGCTCGCGTGAATTAGAGGACATTTTCCCCCTTTTTCGAATAGATAGAATTAATAATGTGAGTGGCATACCTATAAATGAAAGGACTGCAGTATTTAAGCATAAGTGGAGAGATTTCGTCAACCCCAGTGTAATTTGTTTTAATTTCGAGAATATATTTATGAAAATCAGCAAGATTTGTTAATTCAGACGAAAAGTGTAGAGCATTATTATTGATTTGTTTTGAAGTAACTACGAAAAGAAGGTATTAATTTCTTCAGGGTCATTCAAGTTATTTGGAAGAGTAGTGCCTTTTTTTTGAGTTAATATTAAAATTCTTTAGAGCCTCCCAAGTTTGTTTGGAGTTATTAAAATTACACAGACAATCTAGATATATCCTCTTTTCACTTCTTAGTGTAAACAATATAAAATTACAGTTTCAGTTAAGCAGTAACGCAGGAGGAATCCGAAAGCTTTGTAAATACTAGAGTACTACTAAGGTGCTAAGTACAGTTTTTTAATATTTGTCCATCAAGTGGCACCTTGGATGTGTGTTGGTTTGGCCTCCTGATCTTCATCCACTCCTGTGAATTTAGCTTGGGGAGGACACACTATATAGTCTTAGCCTTAAAATATTTTTATTTCTCAAATCTTTATGTTCCTTTTGGTTTTCTAATGAAACTTACTTTGAAACAGATATCACGTCTAAAACAATCAAAACATTCAGAAAAGATCATGATCAGTTCATATACCTTTGTACAACCTGCTATTTTTTAGGTGTTTTATTAACCCGTCTGGTGGGAATTAAAAAAACATCGTTATATACTGTACCTTAATTTTTTTGTGTGTTTGTACATAGCAATTTATTTAATTTAGAAAATATCATACACGAACATCAGCTGAGCAACAGTTTCTGTGGTGTTATTGATACGAACATGATGGTTTCGCTTGTTTTACTGAAGTATCATAACAAATACAGTCCTTTTTGAATCATATTGAGATCATACTAATCTAATAAAATTTACCATAGAGACGGAACTAGATAACTATTTATATTTAAACTTAACTTATACTTAACTACAACTAAATTATGGAACAAATTACAGTTTTCTATTTACCATGAACCCTCATACACACACACACATGATAACTCAAATCACCCTGTCACCTACAAAATGGCTGCTTTTTATTTTTTCTCCGGCTTTCACTTTCCATCGGATATTTTGGAAAAGAATTAAATATTATAACACTTTTGACAATGGTTATGTAGGATTCCTCTTTTTTTTTCTTAAACTTGACGATTTTTATTATCTGCCTTGTCGAATTGCTTTTAAACGTAGATTTGTTATCAAAAATTCGTTAGAACTGGTTAGAACTGGGACAATATGCTTACTTAGAGATAAGTATTATGTTATTATCATATGATAATCTAATTCCTAAATATTTGATGTTCAATGCCTGCTCTATAATTTGGTTATCTAGTTCCAGCTCACGTCTAATTGGTTCTTTAGAGATTACTAGTGATTTATCGTTTTTGGCCTATATTTTCATGTTAAATTTCATCTTCATTCTCAGCTACCAAGACAGTACCGTCATTACCCATTTTATAGCCTTTTT